TTTTTCTTGACCACATACCATTCATCTAATCAAATTCTCGGAAATACTTATCATAAATCAGCTTAAATTATATCAGTCTATTCAATAAATAAACAATTAAACAGTTATCTCGGAAACCTAAACAGCCTTAAACAGCTGACATGTTATTTTAATTTCAGTAATGGGCTTCTATTAGTGACATCTCCGGATTTATTTGAGATACCACGTCGAAGCACATCAATTTGTCAGTGAGTTAATTAAAATAATTCGAAAGACGGAATTTAATCGATCGAGTTTATAGGTACAAACTTGTCGAATTGGGATGGCTGTTTTTTATTCAGTGGCATACCATTTCTCCACATTTTTACGAACATCTTTGATGCTTGTGCTCCATTTCGCAAAGAATACTTTAATTGAAATATTTTATACTATAATAAAACTTCTTGGTAAGTATATCCAAAAAAAATAAATATTACAACGAATTTTTGTTCAATTTTCCTATAGCAAAATAAAACATTTTAGTTTTGTGGATAGCGTGGCGCTACTTGATTAGACTTTAACCCAAGACTAAATAGACAAAAGACATAGTTGGTATGCTGATTGAAACGCGTTAGCAAATGGATTTCCAAAAATTGCCAACAATAACTGCCGTTGCATATTTGTTTGATGAATACGAAGAAACGTGTAATTTGAAATCCAAAACCAGCAAAAACTGGTTTGCATATGGGTTGATAACTTACTTTTAAACAAAAGTTGGTGATCTTTAAGATTTACTAATAAACATATCTAGATATATTCTCGTTTTAGTTGCTCAGACAGCACCCAAAATCGGTTCATTTTTACTTCTAGCATCTACGACACTGCATGATGGTATCCATTCCTTTTAAAGCAGCAGACTTTATCGAAACTCTATCTTTTTAATCCGATCAACGGAATCGACCCTGTTATTTGTTATTTTACCTGATATGTCCGATCTAATAGCTCTAATTTTTTGTAATCTAACCTACCTCTGCTATTGTTAACTAGATTTACACGTTCATCCTGCCTTAGTAAATGTATTTTTTTTAATTGTAGCAATATAAATAAAATATGTAGACTTCAATACATGTGCGCCTTGGCGCAATTCTTCATTATACACCTTTAAAGAATCTATTATGGCAATAAATTATGTGTATTTGCAAGAAGAGTATAATAATAGTATTTTTTAATATATACTAACTCGGCACATGAAACTTTCTATCTTTGGTTTGTTCACTTTTGAATCGCCTTCGAATCGGCCTTTGAGCTAAATATCTTCACGGGAGATGTTATATTAAATAACATACTTAAATATAAAGGGGACTCAATATGTGTGTCAAGTGCAAATTAAAATAAGTCAACATGATTTATCAATTGATTTGACAATTTTTTAAAGCCCGTTACTTGGGCTATTAGCAAAAACACAGGATTCTTCCCATATGTATACCGGTCAACAAAGATGTTATAGCTTCACCATGCAAAACTAGTTTGGCATTGCTTATATATATACCTAATATTTCAATTTAGACTTTCATTTCGCATTGTTTTTTCGTTACATATGTAGATTCTTTTACTTTATATACACTTTTATTGCATTGTTCTCGAATGTTAATTATTATTCGCCATATTATTATACGATATAACTTATACCGCTGTATTGCCTAATATAATGGGGACAACGTTGTCGTAGTAAACATATCCGATCCATTGGTGTATTCTAGCTTGAAATAATCCAACTTACCACCCGAAAGTGAAAGTTCAAAAGTGTCCATTTTAGTTAAGCTACCTTATTGCACTCTCTTGTTTTTCTATGAACACGTCAAGTTGATTGTGAAAGATTTGTAAAGACTTAATCGAACCTTCCACTAGTTTCCGTTAATCTATCTACACTAGTTTAAAAAAATGACATAAAGTATCGATTACTGACCTTTTTCAACAACCTTTCCAAACAAGTTTCTTCCTCTGGAAAAATTTTTGATGCTGCAGTTCCAGCGTTGATTCCTAAATTGATGTTGACACTCACTAATGGCTAGACTAACTCCTCTCGCGACCGCTTCTAGAAGACCAGTATTCTCTCTGGATAACCGTCGCTGCTTACGCCGTAAAGTCCCGTACACCGATTTATCCAGAGATATAACTCCCGGGTGGGTTGGGGAAATGTTGTTTGGCTCTCCCGCTTTCGCGAGACCCCTGGAACAAAACCGAACTTGAAGAAATTATGCAAAACAATCGTGTAGCAAATAAGCCCGTAAAAATCGTACGTAATTATTAACAAATCTTAGTATGCCATTGAAGAATGTTTTAAGTTGGAATCAGTATTTCTCTCGAGTATAGATAGGTATTCCATAGTCTAGGTATAGGTAGTGAGAATGGCAGTAGCAATAACTAATTTAAAACTACCTAAGTATGAATGAACAGTGGTAATCTATACAAGGTCTACTCTAAATTGGCGTCATTTCTATTAAGAGGTAATCGCAGCTCACTTGGAGAGTGCGAGAAAATTTTTGATGTCAAAAATTACCGGAATCAAATTCAAAACTTCGAAAAATCTGAAATTTACCGGTTTGTTGTAACCAGAAGGTATTTACGTAAAGCTAATTTAACTTGAAAAACATTGTTGGCATAATTTCTGATGCAGTTTTTTGCAAATATCTCATTTCAACATCAACATTTTTCACTATTTTTTCCTGTGTTCCCAAAAGGATGACACCAATTTTGAATCTCCGTATATAATATACAATTATACAATAAAATATATTTCATTTTAAAAGGACTAGTCGAAAATCTCCCAAATAATATCAAATACAAGAAAGTGTTGTATAATTGCTTGAGGGAAACCCGAAGATGAAATTAACTTTTTTATAGGTGGCGCAGTTAACGTCCGGTAAGGAGCAATTTTAATTTTTTAACTTAGTAATTATATTTATTATATTATATGATACTACCCACAATATCAATTAATTAAAATATTACAATAAACAAACAAATAAAAATAGTGATGTCAAAACACGTTAATGAAAACCATTTAATTAATGAAATTAGTCCACGATGATACAAATCTCAATAACACAATTTTTAATAGGAGCATAGGAGCATAGGAGGAGGACATTTTAATAGGAGCATAGGAGCAACGCCACTCAGTGGCCAAACTTGGACCTGACGACGGTTTGACGAAGAACGACCGACTGGTCTGTGCCACGATGGGTGCTTGATTGCCCTTCGTTGGAATCGACGATTTTTCGTCCCTTCCTTTTCAAAGATTGCGGTCAGCGAAGGTGGGGCAACCGTAACGTTGCCAGACAAAACCATGACAGACTGCTGATATTTGGCATCGAGATGCAAATATTTAAACATTAAAATATAAATAATACCTGAAATATTGCTATTATAACCTGACAAACTTGTTTACTAAATCCAAATTACAAATGAAATTTCGGTTGAAAATAAAAGATTATTACTTACAACTACCTACATTTCCCAACGGGTTAGCAGATAGGTGGACCACTATTTAAAATCCATTTTTAACCGTTACATATTTGCCATTAAAAAAATATATAAAAAACGAAATATTTTTTATAATTTATATAAGTTTTCCACATTGTGTAAATCCATCCACGTGTATGTATGCGAGCAACGCGTCAATGCACTTGATGGCAAATTAAAGTTATGTGAATGGCACAAAACACAAACTACAAAACTAAATGCTGAATCGGATTTTAGAGTAGAAAAAATCTTGTCCCCACCCGACGTTAATAGCGCTATCTATAATGAAGTTGATATCACCTTCGGGTTTCCCCTTAGGGGGAACATTTGTATGAAACACAGTTCTTTTAAAATCGGCCATCCTGTATATAGTAACTGTTGTTTTCAATTGCAGTTCATTAGAAGTTGCAATTGGATGTAATTGTGCAATTTACCCTGAATTTTTGCATTTTTATAACCGTTCGTTGTGATGTAATTGAAATCTAATAATACTGTACAAGTAATAAATTAGAAAATTTGCTCCCGGTTGAGAGTAGTTGCAAAAATATAAAGTTGATCCAAAACGTTTCGTATTTATAGCGACAACTTTTCGAATGCATGCAAATACGGTGATCTATTTATTATGTGCTGCTCATGAACTTATTCTTGCAATAAGCGCGGGTTTCCTCCAACTTTTCATGCAAATATATGAATATGGATTAAGACATAAATCTGTTTCGAGTTTTATCATACTGTTCTACGCACGCTTCCATAGGAACATTTCCGACTGAGAATGAGGGTGCACGGGAAATTTTCACTCAAAATTCGTGATTAATATAGGGCTCTTTCTGTGGCTATTCTTCAACGTGGAATGTTGTAAACAATGTCAACAATCTCTCGTAGTTTGCTAAGTAATACGTACCTACATTAAAAATGTTATTTAAAGGTTTTCAATATAAGTTTAGGAGTCAGCAAAAATATTGTCATCTCAGAGATCAATAGACACATAAAACCATTATTATACATGTACTTTAGTTAGTAACGGAAAAAAATTATAAATAAATAATTGTCTTTGTCTTAAAAAGAAATATCCATTCCAATAGCCGGCATCGATAAAAATTGTTAAGAAGTGACTAACAAAAGTGAGAATTGTGGGCAAACAAAAGTGGTATTCGGTTTGCCGCGGGCAAACAGAATCTACCCATGGCAAATAACAAACTTATCTGCGGGTATTTGAAAAATCAATAGAGCGTGGTTTAGTGTTTAAGAGCAGCTTAACGTTTAAATATTGTGGCTTCATATGTCAATTACCTTTCAGTATGTTTTTTTAATAGCAATTAAATGGTACAGTGGCGTACGCCCAACTTAAGGAAACCAATCGTCTAATTTTGGCTAATTAGCACGTACAAATCTTGCCTACTTAATTCAAACAATATCCGTAATTTATCGTATGATATCGTATACGTATCGTATTTACCGTATGGTAAAACTGTAATTTGCCGCAACATAAAATGAAATGCATACTTTTTGTTCTCTCTCAAGCAAACTTCAAAGTGGAAGATTTGTTATTAGGTACTTTTAAACGCACAAAGGAATATAAGTTTTTGTCGGATTTAATACAATGTATGAGTTTCTGTGAAAACCCTGAAATATTCCTAGAAGTTTATTTATTATGTTTTTATTATTATTTTATTATGTTTTATTATTATGTAAGATGTTTCAAAAAATTCATTAATTGTCCAGAGTTTTCGAAAGATTAGAGTTCTTAATTAGTGACATCTTTAAAACCATATAACCTTTTCTGGTCTTTTCAATTTTGGAGACTAACAAATCTACTTAGAAGTAATATAATAATTAAATATACTTCCGCTTCATAGATTTGGTGCCACTGCCAAAATACGTCAAATTGTAAATAATTTAACTTCTTTTAAACTCGCACAAGCAAATGGGTACTTGAAATTCCGAAGTGCTAAATATTTTAAGTTAGTCTGTTCAGGAAGACTCCAGGCAATAAAAACTTCTTCGTTCGAAGTCGATAAAATACACAAAGGAAAGGATTAACAGTTTTCTTATTTTCTCAAATTTTCTTCCACATTAAAATTGAAACACATAGATAAATCAGTGATGCTTAAATCTGCCGTGCCTTTTCCGTCTTCGGAAAAAAGTTGAATTTATCCCTGACGAAGGGATAAATTCGAAAATAAAATAGTAAATAAAGCTACATTTGCTAAGTTTGGTAACTGACTGCTTTGGGACTTTTTCTCTATAGACCGCCACAGAGCGACTACTAATAATTTCCATTTTTCGAATTGGAAAAGACGGTTGCCTTATAAATATTAAAAAAAATTAAATTTTCTTCATAATGAATCGTGCAGTCGAAGAATACCCATTGAGTATATCTTATAAAACTGAATTCTTCAATATATTCTGATGAGGAGGCAAATACCACCAAAAACAGAGATATAAGATAACCGTATCTCAAAGGCAATTCTAAAAATCTTCATTTCCACTTATACAGTAGTAATGCCGCATGTTTTCTCGACCCGGTACAATAACTCTCCAACAAGAATGTCAGACGAAAGATTTTATTTATGATCTAAAATTGGAGAGTTTATAAATTTATCAATTTGAAAAGTGAGGATTATAAATTTAACTTTTTGGCCGATAAGAACATTAAATAAAATTGAGAAAGTTCTTGAAAAAATATTAAAATTACCATCTTATTCACAAATTCTGATTCAATAAATTTTTGTATTAATTTAGTACATATACTCGGGTGAATGTTTTTTTATTTGTTACAGTTATCATTGATTAGTTCTTTTGTTTGGGCGTTTTTGGAATAGCGTATTTAGAGGCAAAAACTCTTTCGATACAGCAGCGATCCTCGTATGGCATGGTTCTCACGCGTCGTCTCTGACTTTCTCATTCCGACTTCGTAATATTCAGATTGTCTTTTCGCAATTAAGATTCTGATAGTGTTAAAACCAGCATATTTTTTCAGTTTTCCCATTGAGATAAATTTATCTTCGTTTCTGAAAAAGCTTCCCTTATGCGATGTGCGCTTTATCACCTAGACTGAAGTATTTCAGGTAGATCGCCTGAGAGCATCTAAACCCTTTATTGTGCTTAAAACTAACGTAAAAAGTAATCCGGCACTGTGTTGGCGCACTAATAGATTAATGTATTTACATAACATAATCACTGTTTTCTGTAACCCTCTTCGTCCTTTCTTCACCGACGTCGACTGACTGTTAAAGTTGGCGACATTTTCATCACAATGCCGTTTAATCAATCGTAAACAACAGCACTATGTTAGAAATGTCAACAACTCGAACACTCGATAACTTTGATCGGTCGTGTGGTCCAAATGTGTGTTCGGTAGCTCTAGGGAAAGGCTTATTTTGCGTTAAACAGCGTCTGGACCAAAACCCCTTTAATTTGCATCTAATAAACTTTCTTATTTCTGCATGTGCGTAGATAAATTGCACCCAGTACCTACTTTCATTCATGATGTTTCTTTGAACATTTCATTTTGAGATTAGTACTTAAAACTAACGGGTTTTGGAGAAAATTTTCAAATTTTAGTGTTTAACACGTTGACAAATTTGTACATAAGGAAACTAAAAAAATCCGCTGTTCTAAATACCTACTACTTGTTCAGGCATCGTAAAGATCCACATATCAAGCTAACCAAAAAAAATCAATCACATATTGGCAACAAAATCAAAGAAAATATGTTGTTTTAGTCTTTATGCCTGCAAACTAGAAAAATTTAGAGAGAAATTGAAAATTAAATACGTACTTATCAGCATCCGAAAACGGTATTTCGCTTAAATATACCAATACCTATGGAAACCTTTGAAGGAGTTCCCCTATACATTCGAAATTTTTTGTAAAGTTATTAAACTTTGTACTTTTTGATTACGAGCAAACATCGGATATTTTTTTATTTAAAATTCGAAAGTCATGACGCGTTTCTTTCTAATGTGATTGTTAACACGTTTTGATTTATTTCATAACTCTTAAAACAATCACTGTATTTTCATCCATTTTACACTATCGGCAATATCATGTGCGTGCCAATTTAAGTACGTAATCGCATCTACTTAACCTACAACTAGCAAATACAAATCATACAGAAAAGACGAATGTTATAAATTATCGGAGATACAAGTGGCAAGAATAACAAAAAACGTTAGCTTTAAATAGATGTAGTAGAAACGTATTTCTTGGGGACGAACGACAGAAGGTAAACTAGAGATAATGCGCTTAAATTTATCACAGGCCAAGCACAATACATTTTCTCATGCATGGTAAGGAAATTGCCGTGCCAAAGAAGCAAGAAATATATGTTTTACCGTAAATGCGACTAAAATATGCGGAATTGCTTTTACTACTTATAGAGAATTGTACAAAACTGGATTATCTATGGCTGCGAGATATTAATAAACAACGTCGAAAATGGTAATTGTTTCCATTTGATAAATAGCTCATCAGCTACAGTTCTGTACAAAACAGAATTGAAATTTATCCGACAGTGCTAGTAATCGTGATCAGCCACATAGAACCAATCCTTTACAAATTTTCCAGAAAAGCTGATGTAACCATTAATTACTTGCAAAATTCATGAAACATGTTACACCGTTTAGCAATTATGAGCTACTTATTCCCTATAATAATATGGCGAATCAAAAGGTATTAAAAATAAAGTTACTCAGCCACTAACAATATGACGAATCGCTAATAACCCTTTTTGCAGCCGTTGTAAATTGTAACAATTGTCAGGGACAAAGTACTTTGCATACATTTGCATATTTAGTTTTTGAGTAGCAATACGGTGATACATGAATGAGGAACGTTACGATAGGGCACTAAAAGTTAATTGATTTTTTCTCGGCTTTGTTTGAATGGCTACCTGTGTGCATATTAAAATATATATTTGATAAATTAGGTAATTACCTACATCTACAGAGGCGAGACTATTAATTATGTTGAAGTTTCTTGGTGATTTTTAGTGTTTTATACCCTTCTTAACTTTTTAATCTGTTTTATCTTGTGTTGCCGTTAAATAGTCTGTTTGTCCTTTCTCTTTTATGTTCAATTTCACCGGGTTACGTGTGAATTTTATACTGATGACAAATTACTTTTATTCAGCTTTAAGACTGACGACTCTGATACTTTTTGAAGCCCCGATGATGGCTTAAAAAGAGCCGAAACGTTGACCAACTCAAAAACAGAAAGCAACATTTGTCACTACTGCTAATTATGTTTTACGTTAATGTTCGTTAATTTCTTATTGGACGTTTCAATTTAAAAGAGAAGTGTTTTGGGTAAATTCTTCAGGAAAGGGCTCGATTTTAGTGTTCTGCATAATTTAATTTTGTGTCACACACCAGTTACTATGACGTTTCATTCTAATATTTTTTAAAGAAATTTTAAGTTTAAGCTTAAGTTTAAGTTATTTCAGTTCTAAGGGTTTTTTGCATTTTATTAGATTTGCCACTTTTTCTGCACTAATTCACAGCTATCTTCCAGTGCTAAATGAAAGGATTGTTGTATGGTAACACATCAAAGTTGGTACATGAATATCACGAAAATTCGAAATTATTTATCCAGATTTCAGTTTAGGTATCATTTAAAATTTAAAATCTGTAAACCGGGAACTACGTGATCAAAGCGCAGAGGGTACAATTTGTGAAAATTCGAAGTCAATCCAGCCCAAATACAAACCCTATGTGTACCTGGATATATTGAAGTAGTTGCACAATATAAAAATTTGCTATAAAAAAGCAACGGTGTATTTTTATTTGACAAAATGTAAAATTTTTTGAAGTAAAAAAAATTTCAAATGTAGTTATCAAGTTGCATATTTTCTAAATTAAAATCTCTTAAATCTAAAAATAGTGATTATTTAACATACCACCACATAGATCCCTTCCCGCGGTTCTTGTTTTTGGACATTACACCAGTGTCCACATTTCCTTGCACAAATTTCACAAAAATTGGGGAGAGGCAAATAACAATGTAGGCCGTTATCGCGAAAGTTTGCATTTTTTTGCAAGAGAACTGCATGTTGAGAGAAAAATGACTGGGGGTAAATTTTCAAAAACTCGGTTTCACAAATGAGGCGTCAATAGATCACACGGCTGTCCGTTACCGATCTTCCGCAAAAAATAAACAATTCTGTGCACTTCGGTATTTACTTTGAGCCATCAACTGGACCAAGCTAGGGATGCTGCCTTCCGAACGTCGAAGTTTCACGACCATTTCCGAATCGGTAGGTTCGGAGGAGGAGTTTTTGGTTTTGTTCTGCTTAGGCTGGCTATTTGGACTAAAAGATGCACGTGGAACAGCCAGCACGTGGAACCCAGTAACGCCTCCGGACGATTTCTCGACCAACGGGCTTCCGAGTTCACGCCTTAGGCGGGGCCCGGCACCGCCATTGCTCGAAGCGAGCTCAAGAAGTTTCAGATTCCTTGTGGATGAGCCCCGATGGGTTAGTATCCTTCAAAGAATGCTCTTATTCAGCGGGATGCAGTAGAACATTTTTCACATGCTTTATTCGCCTCCGATAGCGAACTCATCTACTTTGCTCCGCCAGAGTGGAAATTCGTAATTGCCGGTAGCTAAATCTGCTAACCGCACTTAATGCTGATAATAGCGAGTGCTTGACTACATTTTACATTAAATAAAAATATGTGTATGATATACACCATATAAAATGTTGACTTGATATGGTACATATTTGAAAATTCCCCGTAAATACCTACACTGTTAAAAAAAGCTGGTTGAATTTTTAGTTGAGGTTTTTTCCACACACGTAACTGACCATTCAGATGCTTGTTATTGAAAATTCAAATACTAGTAGAGTAATTCCGGGAGAGATGAACCACGTTTTTTGATTCGACTCTATCTTCACAAAAAATAGTTTTATTGACGTAAAAAAAAATGTTGTCACAAACATTTTAACTAACTGCAATCAGAACTGTAACTAAAGACTAAAAACTCGGACACGTTTGCTGACAAAAAAATAAAATAAAAAACCGTTGTGTGGTCCAACTAACCCGAAATTTGCGGGATAGTTCAACCACCAATTTGGGACTGTTGGGCCACACAGGGAGACATGAACCGTAACAAAGGATAAGGAACAAAATTAAACTTAATTATTTTTTTTTTTAATTTTTTAATTAATAAGTTTTTTTGCGGCATTTATTCCACATATTTTCAAAGTTTGTACACGACTCATGAAGCCACCGGGTACACGACTCATGAAACACCTTCAGCAACTCATGCTAAGATCTGAATGACGGCTTAGGAAAAGATGTAGCGAGTCGTATTTTGCCATTTTTGTGATTGCGTTAAAACAATGCTTCAACGGTAACTGTTCAGCAACAGCAAACATTATATGTCGCATATCATTCCGTGTTGGGGCAACACCAAATGTTTGCAGCTTTTTTACATGTGCTACTATCGTCGCTTCATTTTCTTCTCCTAAAATAGACGAATAACTCAATGAGCCAGTTTTTTAGTTTTCCGCACGGCTTTCTTGTAATTAGAGTAGCTTTGGGAATATTAAAGTGGCTTTGACCCCCATTGTTTTTGTATCTATAGTCTTTACAACATTTTTGAGGTCTTTTTCGGTCCACCTAGCTCTTTGTCAGCTCAACGTCCGTTGGTATTTTGTAGGCATTGTATAAAACAGAAAAATAAAAACCGGTTCAACTGTCCCGATTTACTCTGGTCCATCTATCCCAAATTTCAGGGATAAACGGACCACCCAAAAACAAAAAATCTATTTATTAATCGGCTTTTACATCATTTACGTTGTCCTGAATGAATACCATGCAATGCATTTTTAACCACAAATAGCATTTTGAAACTTTCTTTTAGATAGAATCGTACCTTCAAAATACCGTTAAAAAAATTTCTACCAGTTGTAAATGCAGAAACAAATAAAGCCACTCTCGAAAATTAACTACAAACAAAACTACTATCGGAGTGCAACTGGTAGTCGTTTGTTGACGGGGTAGCGTTGAAATATTCTTCCTATACCATGTACAGTCAAAAATACCCGACTAGTCCATCTCAGGCGGTGGTTCATCTCTCCCGGAATTACCCTAATTAAAATTCAAATAACTTTTGGGCGCATTTTTTCATATAAAAATCATGGAAAATAAAATGCTTTCGATCCAAACAAATCGATGAAACAAAATAACTCAATAATATTTTATAATACATAAAACTGTACATTTGGTAAAGTATACTTTCAAATAAATAACGTATTGATTGCATGAATATATTGAAATCTTATCTGTAACAAGTTAAAACATACAGTTGGAACACAACCACAAAAACGAACTGATTTGTGCATTTTAACTATAGTAGGACCTACATGTTTTATCACTTCTGTAAACTTTCTAAGTCTTTCCAAGTTCCATGTTGATAAATTTTAGATTTTCAGTACGAATTCTGAAAATCCAGTCAAAATTTACATGAATTTCTAGCGTGCGTCCGTGCATCGACATAACTTTTTTATGACCTCCCCCCCATTCAGACCAAAATCCTGGATTCTGCACTGATCGCCCTTGTGCAAATAAACTACCGACCAGCTGTGGTGGTCCCATTTAAGTTACGATTTACCAATCATTTGCATCTTAACTGGTAATTTCTAGGGACTATGTAAAAGTAATATTAGAATGTTAATAAACACATCCTTAAGTAGATTTTCATGTATCTTTCGAAACGTCAACAACGGAAAGAGGCAAAATGCACACTTGAACAGACAGAAAATAAACTCAAGTGGATAGAGCTGCCTTTTAGATGACTCAAATTTGCCTGTTGATCTAGACGCAATAAAAATCGGCAATAATCACTAAGGTCGCCTTGAGTAATTGCGTTTTGATTGCTTTGGAATTTTTTTAAGTTCGTTTTGGTTTACCGTCACTCCCACTAAATAAGCTTTCTTATCATAGATTGTCAATTTCCTAAATTACAAGTAACAAATAGTGTGGCGTGAACTTATCTTATCTCATAAAGACAACACCCAGAAAACATTTTTTGAAGCGAAGCCATTAGTTATTGACTGAGGTGAACGGGACTATAAAAAAATATCAGCCAGTAACCAGCAAGCTACATCACTCTATACAAAAGACTTAGTTTTGTGGTGAGAGCAATCAAGCCCTGCTGATTATTTAAAGAATAATTAACATGCCGAAGCAAATTTACTTGTACGCGCAACATTGAAAACTTGACTGCAGTTCAAACATTGTTGTTAAATATATTATCTACGTATCGGGGACATTTATAATCCGGTTTGGGGTCTGGACTTTATTTTAAATAACCAAAGTTGATATCAGTTGTTCATATAGGTAACCTCAGGAGAAATTAGTAATTAGTGTGGATTGCCTCAATAAATTTCCCTTCAAATTACCTAAAAAAAAAGCCGCCAGATACTACATTAAGTCATAACGATTCTTGTGTGTATATCATTAAAGTCACGATTGCATCGCTAATACTGTGAAGTAACTTAGTTATATCCGAATAGCAGCACGTAAATCAAATTAGGAACGACATATGCACAAATCATCAAATCAACAGCAATTTAATGATTATCTTATTTCATCGGTATTATATCTCGTTTCAATGCAACTGTTTCTGCAATTGGCGACGTAATTATATTGGCATTTTCCGAGAAGCCTGCTCAAATGGAAAGTATGATATTGAGAGTCGAGGTCTTCCTGATAGAAAAATGTCTGGTCGTATCATACCTAAAGCATTTTGTTGATAATGATCACGAAAAATGATTTGCAAACTTTCTACTTATGTAAAAATTTTTTATTGGTACTGGTCCGTATGAGGATTTCGATTTACTTGAGTTTAACAACTTTAGTTAAATTTTTGTTTTTTTATCATTAAGGGTTATTTATAGGAGTATACCTATTCAATAATTCTCCACTTGGTCAGTGCTTCTATTAGCCAACGCCTAACGTATTTCGTTTGTTTAATCGTTATACAGAGTGTTCTTTCAGTATTTAGTCAATCTTCAGGAAGTTAATATCTTACTGATTCTTTGATGCAAAGAATATATGTAGGTATCTATATCTATATGAGCGATTGTTCTGAAATTATTCAATTTCATTTCAATTCATAAGGCAAATAATAAACAACATTTTCCATATAAATAACTTAATAACTTGTTTTCTTTCCAAAATTTGGTAGTAGCTTTCACAACAGTAAGAAGCTTCCGTTCAATAACTTGTGTGATGGCTTTATCGTAACTCGCTTTCGAGGTAAAATTTAAACACCACTATCTCTCTGGGCCAACGAACAAAGTAATTGGATCACACTGTAACTTAGCAAATTTAACTCACTTTAACCACTACTCAAATGTATCTTAACCGATCTTAATGACAATTGCCAAATTTAATTTTTAGGCTCGAGCTATTGCTTAAACCCCCTAAAGCCCGAAAACACATTTTTGTAACCTTTCTTTCGCATTGTTTTAATATAAAGAAGATGTGATCAGAAGTAGCACAAAACTGATTAAAGTTGCTGAAAATTCTGTTCTTCAACTACAATCAGTACCAAACTCGTTGAAATAAAATCTAGGAAATTTAAATCTGGTAACTTGGATGACCATGACTGAAAGCATTATAGCGAAGGTGAACCCATGAAACTTGCCCAATTTTCTTTGTAAGTTCCATCCAGAAATTGCACTTTTACTATGCTCACATATAGTGGAGGCTTATCATGCAAGATCCACATTTTCTCTTCTTACTACTAGTGAAAGTTCTTTCTAATTGTTTATATAAAATAACTGTCAAAAAATGACGATATTTTAAACCATTCCATCTCCGGGACAAAAAACTGTTCCCATTTTTTCTGCCCCGAAATAATCATTATTGTATCATTACGTTATATTACGAGCAGAATATATTTCATGATAAATGCGATTAGCCACTTAAAAATTGCATCGGGCGATTCTAGAAATAAAATACTTGGGATGTTAAATAACCCTATGTAGTCAGCATCAAAGCTAGACTATTAAACATATTATAACAGTTTGATCAGATAAATTGCAAATCACCTACGTACTCGGCTTTCACTTAGATTTGACACATTCAAAATTCCTGCTCATTTCCTTTAACTTATTGGGTAGCACCAATTAGTGCTAATTCAATAATGATAACTTTCTTTGTTATTCTAAGTTGAGCGATGGGTTATCGCAACTGGAAATCAACAAGCGTCTATTATTAATTGCCTTATTTTAAGTATCCTATTGTTGAATCTTAGAATAATAGTGGATAGCGTTAG